GAAGTCAACTGTAATCTCTATTTGGATATGAAGTAGTTACTATAATACCAACAGATTTTAAAATGAAGTACAGTAAAGAGCAAGGCATGTAGAATAAAGATCAAGAAGCTCTTGTCTCTAAGGTTATCTGTCCTTATATGTTTGGCAATAGAACTGTTCTCACTAAGACCAAAGCTGTTCAAACTGATCAGCACTAAACCAGTTCTGGTCACTTTTATTGTTCAGTCATTTCAGTTGTGTCTTACTCTTTGTGACCCCATTTGGAGTTTTCTTGGTAAAGATATTGGAGTGGTTGCCATTTCCTTCTCTACCTCATTTTGCAGATGAGGAACTGAGGCAAACAGGGTTAAGTGACTTGCCCAGGGTCACCCCTAGTAAGTGTCTGAGGCTGAATTTGAACTCAGTTCTGCCTGACTCTGGGCCCGGCACTCTATCCAATGCACCGCCTAATTACCCCCTGGTCACTAGAATTCCACAACTATGGGCTCTAATAACTAAGTGATCAGTTTGGCCAAATGTTAGAATCAGAACAGATCCACCTCTAAGAATCTGAATGCAATTTAAAATTCACAAGTATTTTTGTACATGTACATAAAAGAATATTTTTTGTTGTGAGTTATGATTTCATTTATGTATCTTAAGTCCCATGAGGAAAACCCCTCTACAAATGCAGATTGGCACCTGCTCTGCTGCTTCTACTCTTAGTTACCCAAGACACTGAGAGGGTAAGTGACTTTCCCAGACTTGCCCAGAGTTACACAGCTGGATATGAAAGGTTAACTCAAGTCTTTCTGACCCTCAGGTTAACTTCCTATTACCATTATACAACACTACCTCACATAGGCGTGCTATCTTCAGGAAAAGAAAGTAATATTCTTTTTATTCATCTATTATTGACTCTGTTACATTCCATAGTGGCTATCAAAACTTTTCCTACACCTCTCAAGGTCCTCAGCTCATCCCAAGTGTCCTCTATCTCATCAGTTCACCTTACTAAAAAAGGTGGATGCCTTCACACTCATCTCACAATTTCTGTTTCTCTCCTCCTTCCCTTCCTATCCCAGAAGAACTTGTTTCACCTCCAAGATCTTGAGCTCTCTTTCCTCGCTACTCATTTATTCCTTAACCCTTAGCAATTCAGGTTCAGCCCCACCCCTCCATTAAACTGTTAAAGATTAAAGATCTTTTAAAGATTAAAATTTTAAATTAAAAGTTTAAAGAGTAAAGACCACCAATGATCACATAGTGCCTAATAATCGACTATTTAAGCTGGGTGAGATCTTTAAGAATTTTATAGTTCACCTTCCTCATTTTCTAGATGGAGAAATGGAAGCCCAGATACATAATAATTTAAGTGGCTTCACTAGAGTCGTATAGATAACTAACCACAGAATCAGGAGTAGAATCCAACTTTCCTTATTGCTCTTATCCATCATTCTTTCCAACATGCCTTACTACCTCGTTAAACCAAGCTCCTCATTATTCTCCCTAAATTAGTTCCTTATCCTTATCTCCCTGTTTCTGTTAACTATTTTTTTAAACCACTTTCTTGCTGCCACCCTATTTTTTCTCTCACCATATCTGGATAGAGAAGTTTCTACTTAGTTAAGTTGTACTTCCTGTTGAGGAAAGAGATCAATATCTTTTATACTTTCTCAGAATATTTCTTTGGGAACCCTACTTAAGACTACTCAAAGTTCGGGGAAGCATGAATAATTGTTTTTAAGTGGAACTGATTCACAACAACAAACCGCTCTTTCTCTTTTTGTTCTTATACAGGACAGACCAACCCTACAGGGTGATCATCATTCACTTGTTATAGGTGTGAACAGCTGGCAGCTTATTTAGGAATATCTAGGATCTCTACCTGGTGAATGGGGTTTAAGGCAATTAATAGTTGAGGGTGACTTGACCAAAGCAATGAAAAGCGTTGGTCTGGCATCCTTGTACTGTAGTTGTTCTAAAATGGTACTTGAGGGAGGGTATGCAATAATACAGGGATTTTTCCATGTCTTATTGTTGATAGGGAAGGAGGGAGGAAGAGAGAGAGAGAGAGAGAGAGAGAGAGAGAGAGAGAGAGAGAGAGAGAGAGAGCATATTACTTCTAGCATTTGAGCAGCAGTGTGCTGTAATGGGAACATCTAACTCCACAGTTAGAAACCCTGGGTTCAGCTCTCCACTCTGCAACTTACTTCTCTGTCAAGTGGGGTTTTTTTTTCTGCAAAATGAAATTCATACTACCTACCTTGCTTACATCCAAGAATAGTCATGAGGGTCACATGAAATAATGTATGTAAAGTGTTTTGTAATAGAAATAGATTTTATTAGCCATTGGTGGGGAAATCCCCAGCAAGTCCCTCCATAGCAGATCACATCCTGTCAATTGACTCATCACTTTTGTCCTAGAGTTTTGCCCTAAGGAACATAGAGATTAAATGGCTTATATAATGATGTTTTATTTCCCCCCCCTTTCTGAGGGTATTCTCAAACTTATTAGAATATTCGAATTCATGAGTTGGTTAGGTGGTATGGTCGGTAGAGTGCTGCACTTGGAGTCAGGAAGTCCTGAATTCAAATCTCGCCTCAGATACTTACTAGCTGTTTGACCCTGGGCAAGTCATTTAAGTTCTTTGGGCCCAAGTTCTTCATCTGTAAAATGAGGATGATAATAGCAGCTACCTGGAAGGGTGGTTGTGAGATCTAATAAGATAATATATGTAAAGCACTTTGTAAACCTTCAAGTGCTATATAAATGTTGTCTATTGTTATTTTATTAATTTAGTAATTAAAAACATTCCTGATTTCAACTGTTGACATACATTTTCCCTCCTTTTATTTGAGATGAACAAATAAGCAGATGAATTCACTTTACAAAATATGTTCAGACACAGGAACAAAAAGTTTGCAACTCTAAACTATAAGAACTAAAAGTATGTATGTGTGTCTATATGTGTGTGTATGTATGAGTATGTGTTGATAGACAGACAGACAGACAGATAGATAGATAGATAGATAGATAGATAGATAGATAGATAGATAGATAGATAGATGATAGATATGAATGTACAAAATCTTTTAAATGACAATTTCTGAAAGATACTTGGAAATCAATCTCTCCTGTTTGGAATCTTTTAAACTTTATGAGAAGTGGTTAGTGATCTGAGGTTAGGTCATGAAACTCTGCTAGGTTAAGAGTGGCTGCAGATGCCAGGCACAGGTGAGCCCTCTGATTCTAGACAATGATATCGTTTTTGGTCTTTGCTCTTGGATGCACAGTGCAAGATAATTTAGACAGGAACTACAGTTTCCATGGAACTATTCAAAAATAAACTCAGAAGTTAAATAGTTAATAGTTAAATAGTTACTCATAAATTAAATTGTGTATTACGTATTAAGACATGACATTTAGATACATGTAATTAGGATGAATTAGCCCAGAAAGTAGTATCTACAGACAAAGTAATCATCTGAAACTTTTCTTTCAAGCTTAGGCATCATTTCCATCTCTATCCTCACTCCCCATTCTTTAGCTAAAAGTGATCTTTCTTTCTCCTCAGTTTTTCTTATAATACTTGGGATATCTCTCTTACCCTATATCTTATTTATTTCTATACATATTGAATCAATCTCCTTTCCATGTACACACTTGGAGTGTAAGGATTGTGTCTTTTCAAACCTGCATTCTCAGTGCCTAGCATTTAATAGATCAGAAATTTTTTAAAATCATGGCTCTTACTAATACTCAGAAAAAGGCAATTCAGAGAACATCATAAACTACTAAACTATATACTGTAGTACACTCTTAAAAAGTATTTTTATTGAATTGAATTATAGTAAGCCAACTAATCTGATAGTTTGCTTCTTAGTGAGTTCAACACACTTGGAGCAAGGATTTTCCTCAACTTTTGAATTAGTACTATTGTTCTTGGAAATCATATTTTGGAAATATAGCAAATTTTCTCTTTTTTTTGTAACTTTGTTTTGGGAACTTAACCCTCAGTACATACATTTCAATATATGTTTAAAAAAAGAGAACTATAAGAAGTTTATGTAAGAAACTTCAAACTATGCTCATTTTTTAAAAAAGAAGTTATATATGTATATGACTTAATAGGGTGGTAGGAAAACTGTATTTAATTGTTTCCTTTTTTGGATTTAAAAATGCTTTAATGATGCTCTTTTAAAGTTATTTCTTACCACACACTAACATTCTACTCTCAACATCCTTTTTCACCCCTTCCTTGTAACAAATACATATAGCCTAGCAAAATAAATCAATGTGTAAGCCATGTCAGAGAATGCATATCCCATGTTCATTACCTCTCAAGAACTGGGAGGTTTGTTTCACCATTTGCCTTTTGAAGTTACTAGCGCTCCTTGCTTTGATCGGTCCTGAGGTTTTGGAAATTTGTTCTTTTATATTATTGTTGTTGTCATCATATAAATTTGTAATAACAATGATATGCCTAATCTTACTTAAATTTTCAATGTCTGCTTCCATGCTGTCACACTAAAATTCTATTCAAAATAGGGGAGCTGTAAAAGCTTTTAAAAGACAAAGCTGGAGCTGTTGACTAATCTAATAAAAAAAAAACCCCATAGTATTAAGCAAATGGTGCTTTAGATAGACTTATTTTGGTCCTTTGTCCATTAATTTATTACTTCTGGTTACATACATACCATCTCTGCCTCTGCTGTCTCATTTATGAAATGGAACAATAGTATCAATGTCTTTGAAGAGATAGCTTGAAGGTTGTCATTTGTTTTTGGAAACTCTTTGAAGCAATTAAAATGCATTATTACCATTAAGAGGAAAATGATTTATCTTCATTAAAATGTTGGAAAATATGGTATTTTCAAAAGACCTTAAAACAGCAATCTCGGTTTATCCATCAATAATAAAATTCTGGTATTGAAATGGCTGGGTTTTTTTTTTCCCTCCTGCTGGTCCTGCGTAATGGGATAAGAACAGAAAATAAGAGCTCTTCTTCTCATTACAGATATCAGAAGGAATGGCATACATTGAGAGGAAGAATTACATCCATCGAGACCTGAGAGCAGCTAACGTTCTCGTTTCAGATTCACTGATGTGCAAAATCGCTGATTTCGGCCTTGCTCGGATAATTGAAGATAATGAGTATACAGCAAGAGAAGGTATGGTGTTGATTTCCAGGTTTGTGTCATGTATAGATTATTTATGAGGTGACTGATGTCTAAAAAGAAAAGATTTGGTTTATAGAATATTAATGTACCACAATTATTTGTTTAATTTGCCATTCTGATAATAGTCATAAATTGCTTTTTTAATTGCCATCTTGATTGACTCCAGATGATGTTAATTAGAAACTTAATGCAAACTACAATTTGCACTCTAATTAAGCAAACTGACAAAAATGTGTTTTACAAAATAAAATTTGATTTGTTTTTTTTTGTCATTATATGTGGAAGCTTTTGCTTAATTAGAAAGTAAAGTAGTTTTTTCTTAATTACACAGGAAATGTTAGTAACATTAAGTCTATCTCCAAAAACATAATTTAGACCAGTCTTTTATATTAGAAATGAAAATGTGAAGTTGCCACCGTAGTGCTCACTTAATTCAACATAATTTTGCAAATTAATCTGATTTCAGATATTGCATATTAACTCATTAAAGATCAAGGAGTAGAAATAAATTTCCAGCACATTAGAAAAATTGACAACAAAAAACTTGAGCAATTCTTTGCACGTCATGCCTCGTACTGTTTCTGAGGGCTATCTATTCACTATCATCAATAAAGGTGTAGGTCTAAAAAAATAAGGATGTAGGTGAGATTTAGGGCAAAATTACTATCATTTTAACAATAGTCTTCTGTGATATTTTGGATTCTGGCATTCTCCCTCATGAACAATATGAGGATTAATTTTTGTATTACCTTTTCTCAATTTAAAGGGACAAGGATTAATTTGATAGCATTTTAGTTGGCTCAGATTGCTTCTCTTGTAATTTAAAAGAGTGTGCCATATGTATTTGTTTCTGGTGCCATTTGGAAGAATTGGCCCCACTTAGAGAGTTGATAAAGAAATAACTTCAAAATATGGTTGCAATTTGTTCTGTATCTGCTTCTGTTATGTTGAAATATCACTCTCTGCCTCCAGAGGCCTAGTCATCTTAAGCAGTTTCTCTAGCTCCACCCTTACACTTAATCAAGTTTGGAAGATGGGACTAGTGCAAACAATAGCTGAAGTTGGGCTGATGAACTAGATTCATTATAAAGATTGCACTTTGAAAGAGCTTGGATTCTTTCACTGTCTTTGAAGTTTCATTTCATTCTTTCATACTTCATTGAGATGTGTCATATAAATAAGAGTGCTCTCTTTGCTTCGAATTTTGATTTGGTACCACACAGAATACCAAAGTAAAGTCTTGTTGAAGGCTCAGCTCTCTGCAAAATATCCTTACTGAAAACTCTGTCATCTTCAGTGTTTCCTAAGTGCTCAAAGTCACAGTTCAAGCCTAAATCCTTTGATTTGCTGACAACAGAAAGACATACGCAGCTCTTCCCAAGCTGACACTGACTCTCTCCTTTGACATTTGTGGATATAAAGACCTCATCCTTCATAACATTTCAGTTTTTATTTTTATTTAGAAATCATTTGTGGCAATGCAAACCCTCATATTTGCTGAGAATTATAGTTCTTAACAAATATACAACTAAATCTATTTTCCCACTTATAAAGTAAAAGAATTGGACAGCCTTTTTTCTGAGAGTTTGAGGGAGCTAATGTCTCTAGTGGTTTATACTTTTAAGGTATTTATCTATACAAATACAAACATTTTAAAACAAGTATTATTTCTCAGGTATATGCTAACATTTTTTTCCAGCTGCTCACAACTAAACATGTCTTGTTTCATAGGTGCAAAATTCCCTATTAAGTGGACAGCTCCAGAGGCAATAAACTTCGGATACTTTACTATTAAATCAGATGTATGGTCCTTTGGAATTCTCCTATATGAAATTGTAACCTATGGGAAAATTCCCTATCCAGGTACTATAAGTTTATTTGTTATCCACTCAGTTGTGTTCATTCTTTGATATGTTGTTTTGCTTCCTAGCATGTGTGGGAAAGGAAAATGAACTACAACACGCAGTAGAAGAGAAGAGAATTAGAAGATTTTGTTGGAGACCAGTATATTATGAAGGGAATTCTTGTTCAGGCACAGATTGGACTGAGTGGCCTTTGAGGACCCTTCCAGCTCTGAGATTCTGGGACTACCAGCAGCTTTCCCATTCTGCTAAAGATAAATAAGGCAACTGCTTAGGTTTGGAATTGTAGCAATAAAAATCATACACTAAGATGCAATTATGTAGAACTTGAGAAGGATTGAGTTGTTCTCGATACCAAGATTTTCTAATTAGCTGAAGGATAACCCTTTAAGAGTTAGAACTTTAAACTTATTTGTGTTGGAATCCTTTCTAAAATTAGCTATAGACTTACCTTGCCGTTTAAGCAGAATATGTTGAGCATAATTTAACCTTTGATCGATTATTTGGAGTTATCATCTTATTGTAATGTGTACACATAGATAGAAGAGGGTTGAATGGACACTGATGTTAGCAGCAGTCTTGAAACCTGATTTCTTTTTTTTAAGAATTTTTCCACATCACATTGATTTTTGCTCACTTGCCTTTTTTCATTAAAGGAAGAGAAAAATCAGCTTTTTAATCTCTTGGGCAACAGAATATGCCTCTATTTCTACAAGACTGTTTAGCAAGTCAAAGGTCAAATCTCCTTTGGCTTTAAGAAATGTTCTGCTTCTTTATTCTTGCTCTCTGGGTTCTTTGATTTGCCAGCACCATTCAAAACATGATTGGTGATTTCTGCACCACAGCAATAATGGCTCAGATAGGAACTTCCTTGTCAACTTTCATCCAGTGTTCTATCTCACTCATATTTTTGCACATGTACAAAGGAGTAAAGTACAGTTGAAAAAGCACTAACTCTGGAGTGAAAGGACTGGGTTGAAATCCCACTGCTGACATTACCTGTGTGACTTCGGTCAAGTCCCTGAGCCTTCCTAGACCTAATTTTCTTTATCTTTAAAATGAGGGGATTGGACTAGAAGAATATTGAGGTCTCTAGATCTGTGATTCATTTCTGGAATCAGTGCTGGGGATGCCAAAGCATTCCCCAAAGGGAAAAGTTCTTATTCCAAAGACTCCAGATTCTATATCAGAAGAAAACGATAATATTTCTGCCAACATGATACCAGACCACCATTTCCTCTAAGTTTTCCTTCATATATTTACTTTGAAGAACATTCCAGACACGATTCAAAGTGGAATCTTTAATATTATGGTAGAATTAGAAGTCCTGACTAGTTCCTGTATGAGAGATCTCCCTTCTCTTAAAGTCTTTTTTGCAATGAGATGATATAGTACTGCTCTAGTGAGGTTCACAGAGCTGTTTGCAAAAATGCACTTGGAGCAAAGGTGACTCGCATGAGTGCTTTCAAGGATTACTGAGTACAGGAGCCTGTCTGTATAACTTCTTAGTCTGAGGGACTGTTTCTTATTCTGTCTCTACATTCTTCTATCTTTAGTTTGTTGCCATCACCACCATGATCTTCTTCCTCTTCCTCCTGCTCCTCCTCCTTCTCTTCCTCTTCCTTGTCTCTCTGTATCCCAATTCTTTCTCCGTGCTTACCTGGCTTATGTGAAAAGCACATGTAGGACAATAAATTTAATAATGGCTAGCCTTTATATAGCACTTTGTTTGCAAAGCAAACAAAACAAAGCCCTGTACCTATATTATCTTATTTGATCCTTACAACAACCTGGTGAAGTAGGTATTCCCACTTTACAGATGGGGAAACTGAGGCTGAAAGAGGTTAAATGACTTGCCTAGAGTCACACAGCTGGTATCTGAGGTGAAATTTGAACTGTCTTCCTCATTCTAAATCCAGCCTTCTTACTCACTGTGCCACCTCACTGCCTTGAGTTGGAAGGGTTCTCAGAAGCCATCCAGTCCAACCCACTCATCACTATACAGGTAGTAAGCATATATGGTAACATTCGAATCTAAATCTTATAGCCCCAGAGTTAGCTGCTCTTTTTACTGCATCAGCCAGATTATTCCTTTCCTTCCATGTGGTAAAGCAGCCAGTGACAGCATGTCAGATCTGTAGCTACTCCCCAGCTGTGTTTTATTCTGTCTGGGTACTCAGAAGCTGCTGCTTCACTGCCAAAAAAAGAAATAACTTCAAAAAAATTGGATGTAGGAGGACACATATGAATGATGAGAAAAAAAGCTGGGAGTGGGGATGGGAGCAGAAAAACCCTTAGGAGGAAGTAGCTTTCATGGGAGCCTTCTGACCTTATTTACTTAACTAGGGACAGAAGGGGAAGGGGAAAGAAATCTCCAACCAAATCTGCAATTGTCATACATATATTACACTGAACATTAGATCTCCACAGCAGGAAACCTAGAACTTAACAGAAGTAAAAGCATTTCTTCCTTCTGAAGCTGGTCCAAGTGAATCAAGCTAGATACAAAGGTTCGCGCAGGGCATGAGCCTTGGAAATACTACAGCTCTTCTGTGGTGAGCAGAAGCCCCAAATAAAGAAAGTTATGCACATTTCTCCCTGAGCTTCAGGCATTACATTGACATTTGTGTGAAGTTTTCCATTTAATCAATTCCCATCCTGTAAATATTCAGAAATCATACTTCTGAAGTAAGAGTGGGCAAAAATGTTTCACCATCAGAACTGCTATCAAGATCTAGAACACTTATTCAAAGTGTCACTTAGATCATAATAGTTAGCTTGTGCAGACAAATATCTATAGCCTTTCTCAGGGGTTTCTTACCTGAGTAATTGAAGAGGATTAAAATGACTTCATGGTATCAGAGTCAACGTACAGTGTGACCGACTATGCCTGATCAGACCAATGTGAACTTGGAAGGCTCTAACACAAGTTGGGTACAAATAGTCCGTGTGTACATTTAGAGTGGAGATGTCTCTAAATCTGCTCGTCTCACACTTCTTTTGAGCTACTGCAATTCTGCTTTGCTCATAGAATGCAGCACGCCATGCGGGGTAATCCTGTGCCAATGTCTCCTATGTCTCAGAATTGATACCAGTTGTTGCAACCCGAGGAAGTTAGCTTGAATGCGTACATCCCTAATGACATTCTGTATTAGATTCAGGGTGGGTGGGGGAGCTATGCAAACACTTCCCTCCCTAAATCTGTGTTTTAGAGTTTACCCAAGAGCCTCTAATGGTAAATCTGTGCAGAAATAGGGGATAGTCTCAGTTAATTGAGCTGTCACTACCTGATGATGCGACACAGAGTGTATTCTAAAAGCATTTGACTCAGATTATCTGTAAGGTGCTTTCCAGCTCCAACATTCTAACATGATTCTGACATAATACATGGTTCCTGCCTTTACCCCCAGAAGCTTTTGCTCTAAGCCAACATTTCACATGGTTCATACTAAAAAAAAAAAATGCGTCAACACAATACATAGTTTAAAAAAAATAAAAACTACACACATACACTTAAAAAAACAGCTAAAATGGCATAGAAGCCAGCAAAGGCCAAACACCAACACTAGAAGTAGGTGGTGGATTGCTTACTAAAAACAAGAAACATAACGGGCCAAATGTATCTGAATAATGAAGCAAAGATAGTAAACATAGAACCAGGAAAGGCTTCGAAAGTTCATTGTCAGCAAAGCTGAAAAAGTCCTACCAGGTTTTTTTGTAACTACAGACTGTTCTTATAAAGCACTATATACATTGGAAAAAATATAAATGCCAAGTTTTTGTTTTTCACTTTAATAGCTTTCAAATTATAAATCCCTTTCCCTTTTGTTTGATTGATTTCCCTAGTGAGATAATTTGAACACTTTTTTTTCCAATTGAACCAATATTTATTGAGTTAACTATATGCAAGGCGTTGTGTTAGATATAAGGAAGAAAAAATGACACAATCCTTGCCCTCAAGGGATTTACAATCTAGTAAGGACGGGATGTGATTAGGACAAAAAAAAAAGTGATCCAGACAAATGGGTTTCCAGGAGAGAGAAATAACTTTCAGTGAAGTAGAGAAGTTCAGGGAAGGTTTCATGGATGAGATGATATCTCAGCTGGCCTCTGAAGGAAAAGAGGGTGAGCAGGGAGGTGAGAATGAATTCTAGGCATGTGCAGATGACCTAAGCAAATACATGGGGGCATGAGAGAGGAGAACAAGATTGGGAAGCAGCTGGTAGTCCAGTTTGGCTGGAATATAAAATGCATAAAGGCACAAAATATGTGTCTGTGGAGGGGGAGGGAACTGGAAAAGTAAAATAATGCCAAATTGCAAAGGACCTTCAATGTCAGATTGAGGAAAATGTCAGTCACTGCCTTTCAGGCAGTGACTGAAGTTGTTTTGTTTTGTTTTAACAGAACATGGTCAGATCTGTGCAGTAGGAAGATTTGTTTGTCACCGGCATGAAACTTAACTTAGAAAGGCAAGAGACAGGAGGAAGGGAAAAGAGTTAGAAGCCCATTACTTCTAAGAGGTTTACCAAATATAGATAGATATAGGTGTGTGTGTGTGTGTATATATATATATATATATATATAAAATTTATATATAAAATGTATATATGTGTATACATACATGTGTGTGTATATATCCATACATACATGCATATGTTTTAGAATAAATCAAAGAAATATATACCAGGAATACATAACCATATCTCCATATATGGAATCTGCATAACAGCCATGACCATTTTCTCAGTTCTTCACTGCCTAATATTAAGATTTTCAAATTATTAGAGTATGATATAATTTGCTAGAAATTGCTCTGGATTCATAGTCAGGAAACCTAGGTTGGTCCCCAGCTCTGACACTTTATAGCCATGTATCCTTAGGTGAGCCACTTAACATTATACAGCCTTAGTTTCTTCATCTGTAAAATGGAGTTGATAATACTTTTACTATAGTGCTTTGTAAACTACAACTGAATCAAAATATGAATTATGGAATAGTCCATTGCTGCTGTATAGATTTTTCTTAAAAATTTCAATTTATGTTAGATGTCTAGCATCTGTGAGGAAAATTACCAGGATGGTTCATTGCAGCGCCTAGACCATTATCTTATTCATAGTTGGTTCTTAATAAATACTTATTAAATTCGAGCCTGCTTGATCCATCTGATATATTCAATAAAATGTAAACTCGAAGACAAGAACTGTTTCCTTTTTTTTTTTTGTAGTCCTGGTACCTACCTAGCACAATGCCTTGCACACAGTAGGCCTCTAATAAGTGTTTTGTTGAATTATCTTGTTAAGCACACTTCACTTACTGCCCTTTAGCACCTTCATTTCTCTCATGTCCTTGGCTCTTGTTCGAATAATAGATGACCCCTTCTGGAAAAACTGAACCAGATCCTCAAAGTGTAAAGAGTCATCTCATTGTCAAAAGCCAACTGATCAAGCTTTTCAGTTAGCCCTAGAGATTCAACCATCCTTCCTAAATTCTCATAGCACTAGTAATGGAGAAACTTTCTTTGTCATGCTATGTCATTTACTACCAAATTCGACTAATAGACATTCCAGATAGAGTGTGAAGCTTTTGAATTTGAAAAAAGGCTGAACATATATAATCTATATCAAATTGCTACAGTCAGAGGGAGAGGAGAGGAGAGGAAAGGAGAAATTTTGGAACTTGGAACTCAAAATTTTTTAAAATTAATGTTAAAAATTGTCTTTACATGTAATTGGAAGAAAAAAATACTATTTAAAATAAAAAAAGAAAAAGGCTGAGTTTAGATAATGGGACGTGGTTGAAGGTCACTTACCTCTATCCCCAGACATTTTTCTCTGTTAAAAGATAACTCAATGAGTTTACAGAAATGTGTTATATATAGACAGTTGATCTCACCCAGATCATCAGAGTTTGTGCCTTTGAAAACAAATCACAGGATCATAAATTTAGAGCTGGAAACTGCCCTCATTACACAGATGAGCAAATTGAGGCCCAGAGGCCCAAACTTAGCAGAGTTATTAAGTGGTTTACCTGATGTCACAAAAGTAGCAAACGACACAGTCAAGATTTGAATCCAGGTCCTCTGATGCTGAATCCAGCATCCACCAAATCCATGGCATTTGGTAAGTTGGGCCTCATCCTAGCAATCAAAAGAACTCACTTTTGTTTGAATGACTCAGATTGGTTTGACTGGGTAACCCCCGCCCCCAGTTTTCTGGGCAATTTTACAAAGTTTGATTTGATTTGGACCATGTAGATAGAACCTAAGAGTGTAAATAAGAAGGATAGAAGGAACAAGAGAATTGAGAAGATTAGGAGGAGAGTTTTGATAGCTGGGCTTAAAAAAAGAGAACAAATGCCCCAGAAAGATGAACTCCAGCTCAAATCATTGAAGGAAATTGGATGAGACTGAGCAAAAAGACTTGCTTTCTACAAACTTTGCTGGCTCTTGGGGCACACACAGTCTTACTTCTCTGATGCCTCATTCTGAATTATTTGGCAGGCTAAATACTACCTTGGAAACCAAAGAGTGAAAATATATATTTTTAGTCTGTCAGAGCAGTCTCCTTAGCTTCTAAAACTTGCTTATGTTAATGGCTGCAGGATGTGGGTAGCAGGAGAACACTGCCCTACTTGAGAGCAGACATACTCAGGCTGGTTTTCTGAACGGTGTGTTTTATTTCTCTCAGGGAGGACTAATGCTGATGTGATGGTGGCTCTGGGGCAGGGATACAGGATGCCACGCATGGAAAACTGTCCAGAAGAGCTCTATGACATCATGAAAATGTGCTGGAAGGAGAAGGCGGAAGAAAGGCCAACGTTTGATTATTTACAGAGTGTGCTGGGTGACTTCTACACAGCAACAGAAGTGCAATATCAACAACAGCCTTAGAACAAAGAAATACTTTTTTTTCCCTCCAATTGGCATAGACAGATGCCACATTAAACACACACACTCACACACACACACACACACACACACACACACACACACACACACACACACACACACACAGAGACCAAAAACTGGTTGCACAAGTTATTTCAATGTGCCTGGATTAGCCACTGCGCCTGGTTCCTAAAGGCTGAAATAACTCAGGAAGATTCTGTATACTGTACACAGAAAGAGATACCCTGTTTCTCAGCTGATGGAACAGAATTGAAAAGAATAACTGGGGACTGACTGGCTCAGAGGATAAACCGCTCATCTGCTGGTAACCTTATGTGTCTAAGCCACCATCTGAATCCAAACTTAGAAGGAAAAGAATAGATCCCAATTAAAAAATATATACTTTGACCCTGCATTTCTAGGTGGAAATGCGATAATTACTTTAAAATGTGATCCATATCAGCAAATTGTGACACGTGTTTTCAAGCCAAATGTACTCATTTATAAAGTCGCCATTAGTGGTTACCCACTGCAGGAATTCTTTGTATTTTCCATAGATTTGCACTCATTTAAAAAAGATGGGGAAATGTCATCAAACTATGTTCCATGTGAAGTCAGTGACTGAGAAACATGCACTCCCACCCCTTGAAATCTAGTCCCATAAATATCATTCTGCTGCAGGTACAGTTCACCAGTATCCTTTTCTTCAGTGGAAAGGGACCAAGATTTTTCATTTTAATGTCAGTGTTATATTTTAAAGAAGATCTATGTTCTGGTAACAAACCATAATTCCCAATGTATGGAAATTTGATTTTTTGGGCATTAGAAACAGCAGTAAGATTATGGTGTCTACAAGAACTTTCTCTAGCTATGCAGTTAAGGCATTATGGAAAGGAAAATGGAAAGACTAATTCCTTGGCTGCTTCCAATGATTGAGAGGCATTTTTATTACCAAATGTTTAATTTTAGCTGCATTGTCATATATGCCTTAATGGATTGATTTGTTTTTCATGATTCATACTATGATTTCTAAGTAATTAGAGATTTGTATGGGACTATTTATAGCCAGCAGCTAAGGCTCTAAGGAATTACTTATACATACTGTCTGTGGTGTGAGGTTCGAAAAGACATATTTTTGTTTACTAAACTTTTCTATTCTAAGCCTTGAATGAGAAAAAAAAGCCTCATGCTTGTAACCTTTCACTTATATTACCATGTAAATACCTAATATGTCTATTATTTGATTGTTTTTTTCAATATGCACTGGCCCTATAGCATTTTTAAAAACAATAACATTTTCCTTGTGTGTTGCCTTCTCAACTACTGTCAACTTAAAAAAAAAAAAAGAAAAGACAAATGGCAGGAGAAAAAACCAATGGCATTGATTCCCTAGAGCTGTCTGATTAAAATGAATAATTTCCAGTTCTCCTTATACAACTTGGTAACTTCAGGAATAAAGTAAAAAAGAAATTGATCACCTAGAGGCCTAAATATCCTTTCATGAGTGCAAAATAGACTGTTTCTTTTCCCACAGGCTTCAAAATCAATTGCTAAGATCCATTGTCATTTCAAATTTTAGATGCTAATGGAAAAGGGTAGTCCAATCACCAGTTTTGTTTTTTTCTCTATACTTCCATTCTTGCCTTGTGTTTTATAAAATATGTCCTGTCTAAAACATTCTATGGTTACCATTTCCAGATGCCATATCTGCACATATTCTATATTCACAGGTATAATATTGTATTCAGGCAGGATCTGCACAGCTGGTATCTTTTCATCTAATTGATTGTGTTTATGGACACCATAATTGTCATCTTAGCACAATTAGAATCCCGCACAACAATTTGTGGTGGGGGAGAGGTTCACAATGTGAAGATACTCCCAACTAAACCTCTAAAAGATAATCCATGGGCTTTCTATTATTTCTCCATGGTCCCATTGTCTTTCAGCTCTTCCTCTTTCATTGTCTCTTTTCCTGAAAACTCAGAACCTAATATGTCAAGAAATCCTTCCTTTTCATCCATTTTGTTCCCTTCTGTCTTGCTTAGAACTCTTCTGCGTAGAACCCATGTGTTAGAGCCACGTCCTACTTCACATGTGACAACCCAATTCTCTTCCTTCTTCTTAAAAACTCTTCCAGGCTTCTGAGAATGTCATCTTGAGGTACTTTGTGACTGACAGACAAAATTAGGGACTAAGGTCGAGGGTTGTGTAATATATTAATACTTGTAATAACTTATTGAATATCATCATGTGCACACATCATAGTTATATCTTTGTGTGGTAATATTCTTCTGCCATGTTCTGATGAGGGTCCTAGCTTACCAAAGAAGAGAAATCTTCCAACTTTCCCCAGGTAGAGTAGATGTCTTAGGTTGGTGGAGAAAGGGTGATCTAGCCCAGATGAACAAAATGATGGCTTTGACACAGAGTGAAAACACAAGGTTTGATGGTTTCCCATAGTCAGTGGCAGACCCTCTCTGATAGTGACCCTCTTCCCCAGGTAGTTCAGAGACTCCAAACCTACTCTTAAGTGCACAGCCATCCTGCCTTCGTCCCATTTGTTTCCCAAAGCCAAAAAGAGACTGATCCCTCTTTCAATGGCAAATACTGTATCAGAAATAGCCAGAAATTTTAGAGGGTGCTGTTGGTATTCTGTTTTGACACTTCTGGAGTAAATGAGCCCTCTCCCAGCAAAGTATGTGACTGATAAAAGGTGTAATTGTATTTGCATTCTAACATGGCAAAGCATATCATGGGCACCTGATAAAATGTTAACAATTTTTAAACTTGTTCAAGATTCTGCCTGTATTACCTGCTTTAACTTCTCCCTTTCCTCTGCCCTTTGCCCTCACATGTATATTCAACACAGGGTAAAAGTAGATTGGAAGAAACTTGCCACCTAGGCATCTGAATCTGACAGGTCCAGAGGCTGGGAGAAGAGAAATGTAATTTAATTCTATGGCACTGTGCCTCCCCCCTTTGGTAATTGATGAACAGCTGACTTTCCCAGCTATGAACAGCTCTTGGTGGTGAAGTAACAAGGGTGTTGAATTTAATACCAGACCTGGTTCAAGCTTTGGCTCTGCTGCTAAGTTTCTGTGTGACTTTTGAGCAAGTCATTTAACTTCCCAGAGCCTCAGTTTTCTCATCTGTAAAATGAAGGGGTTAGACTCTGAGGTTCTTCCCTGCTCTAAACTTAGGCTCCTCTGAAAATCAAACCTGTACTTTGCCCTCAGTTTCTCCTTTCACCATCACCCCCACTCTCCTCTGCCCTTCTCCATGCCTACCCCCCAAAATAGGAAATAGTGGGATCCAGTACCTCTGAACTCACTCTCTTTTGAGCTCTAACCACAGGTTATATAAAGCCAAAATTCCTTAGTTCAGTTGGGTGTTCGTAATCTAAATACTGGGTTAATCAAACCCTAGATATTGCTCAAGCAAAATGTACCCACCTGGAAAAGACCAGATTGATGATTTAGGGGTACATAAGCCTTGAAAGTCTGGAATGGGAATCATATTGCCTTCCCCTGCACACATGCTTCTGAAGATTATACATAATCCAGAAAGACTACACTGTCAAATAAAATGTTTTGAGAACATCAGTTTTGAGTTTAATCCATACACACCAAAGATGTGGGGTTGATACAATATTATCCCAAGAAAAGTTAATCTGAGGCATGTGTAGGAGGAAAAACTCCCAATTTAATTTCCTGTATTCTTATGAGTACAAATATTTGAGACTAGAAATGCCAAAGAAATGTCACAAGGTTTCAAAAGCTGCCACAATCAACTTTTCTTCTTGAAGGTTGAGATGACAGTGACAGTGATTTTGGCCCCTTGCTTTTTACTATTGTCTGAAAGATTCTGGCCAGAAGCAGCTGATGTGCAATATTACCAACAATACAATTCAACCATCCCAGGGTAGCTTTACCCCATAACACAATGCAAAAATGTGACATCTGAGTCTGTTGGTTGGTTTTTTTAAAGCGTAAAACATCACCATACCTAGATTCTGGCCACTATGAGGGAAACACAGCTGCGTTAAGAAATGAACAAAAATCTGACGCTACTCAGTAGTGTTCATGGGAGCACTGGATAGTAAAAAAGAACAGGATTTGGAGTTGGGGCTCTGTCACTGCCTGTGGGTTTGAGCAAATCATTTCACTCCTCTGGGCCTTAATTTCCTCTTTTATAAAATAAAGAAGTTAGATTAGATGATTTCTAAGGTTCCCTCAGTTCTAAATCCATATTCACAGGAGACTTGATGGCCTGTTGTACGACCACTTCCTCTTCACTAACAGGTAAACCAGATTGGAATCTAGTCAGTCACTCAAAGATGTGCTTTATGTAGCTCTCTCACCATCCTTGACTGAACCTAGGTCCTTAATGGTTAAAAGAGTGATAAGAGAGATTGCAGCCAAGAGGACCTACACTAGGAAGGGATCAAAATTACAGTGAATAATTACAATGATAGCTGACATTTATATAATACTTACTATGTGCCAGGCACTGTGCTAAGTGCTTTACTAGTATTTCCTTATTTGATCCTCACAACAACCCTAGGGGGTAGGTGCTATTATTATCCTCATTCTATAGATGAGTAAACAAAGCCTGAGAGTAATTAAATGACTTGCCCAGGGTTACGTAGCTGATAAGTGTTTGAGGCAGGTTTAAAACTTGGGACTTCCTGACTCCAAATCCAATATTTAGTTGTGCACTATTCTGATTTTACCCACTAAAGATGTATGATGCATAGTCTCGGCTGAGCCCCTGATGCTGCTGAACAATACTTCCAATTTACTCCTTTCGGCTCATTGTAATAGCAGCTATCCCAAACTCCTCCTTCCTCGTGATCCCAACCACACTTTCAGGCCCCTCACTTAAAAGTCATTTCTTGGCCTCCCACTACAACAAAGACAAAAGCCCATGCTTAGGGAATCTCTCATCTCCCTTTCATCACCTGTCAACTTCTCAGCATACCATCCATTCTTTTCTCTTTCCCTCCTATTCTTTACAAAGAGCTACTCTTATGGTCAGATTACATCCCCAGCCTGCTCCAGTCATTATCCCCTAGATCAGCACTTCTTAAACTGTGGGTCATGACCCCATAAAAATTTGGCAGCAGTAAAAGGTTTCTGAACACATGATGACCAAAAATTAATTCGAAATCAAATGGGTAATGAATCCAAGGTGTTTTGGGCAGTGCTTGCCCATGGTGCATTGCACTGCTTCACTGCAGCCTTGGTTCTGAACGCAAAGCCAGTGCACTTCACACTGTGCGTGCCCTCAGGCTACGCAATGCGTACAAATGCTGGAACTCAAAGAGGGTTGCAAGTGGGAAAAGTTTAAGAAGCCCTGTGCCTAGATCATTCCTCCATGCTAAGGTCTCCTCAATTATGAAAGTCTTCCCTTAACCATTCTCCAAGGATCTTTCTCAAGCTACAATGTCTTTCTTCCTGTCTTCTCCATGGCTAAACTTTTAGAAAATGTTGACATCTGACGCCTCTGTTCTTTCTTCAATGACTTGGAATCTTAGACCTGTCTCCACTATTTTATGTAAGTTGGTCTTTCCAAGGTCCCCCATCACCTAATTATGAAGTCCAATGGCGCTTTTCAATATCTTCTCTCTTTACTTTCTCTGGAACATTCAACCGGACTAATTAGCCTCTTTTTCTGGAGTATTCTCTCCTCCTTTGGCTTTTAAGGCACCACTTTCTCTTGGCTTTCATCCTCCTCTTCTCTATCTTTTTCTCCTCTTTATCCCTTAATGTGGGCATTCTCCAAAGTTCGGCCCTCTCTGTCTTCCTTAGCAAGATCACTTAGTTATCTGGCATCAACCATCATCTCTACCCTAGGATTCCTAAATATATATATATATATATATATATATATATATATATATATATATATATATATATATATAGGTATGACCACTTACCTGAGTGCCAGTTCCAATCAATCAACAAATATTTATTAAGTGTGCTATGTGCTGGGGATACAAAAAGAGACAAAAGACAGTCCCTGCCTTCAAGAAGCTTATAAATTAATTGGGGAAACAGCATGCAAACAAATATATACAAGTAAGCTAAATACAGGATGAAAGGGAAATCTGATAAAGGCACTAGAATTGAGGGGTTGGGAAAGGCTTCCTGTAAAAGATGAGATTTTATTTGGAACTTAAAGGAAGTCCAGGAAATCAGTAGGTGGAGTTGGGGAGAGAAAATATTCCAGTTATAGGAGGCAGCCAGAGAGAATGCCTGGAGCTCAGAGATGGAGTGTCTTCTTGGTGAAACAGCAAGAAGGCCAGTGTCACTACATCAAAGCATATGTGGCTGGGAGTAAGGCATAAGAAGACTGGAAAGGAGGAGGGGGCTAGGTTATGAAGGGCTTTAAATGACAAAGGATTTTCTATTTGATCCTATAGATGATAGTGAACCACTGTAGTTTGAGTTAGGAAATGACATGGTTAGACCTGCACATCTCCAACTGGACTAAGGGCATTTCTACTTGAATGTTCCACTGACACCCCAAATCAGGCTTATTCTTTTTCATTTTTATTTCATTTTTAATTCCTTTTGTTTATATAACACATCCATTCCTAGATATAGCCCTCCTCACTCCCCTACCCAGCAAACATTCTATTGCAACAAAAATTATAAAAGAAGGGAAAAGTAGGCTAGCAAAAACAGCACATCTATTCTACACACCCCATATCCTCCCCACTCCTTTGCAGTGAAGGGAGACAGGGTGCATTTCTCTCTCTCTTTTTTTAGGCAATTGGAGCTAAATGACTTACTTGCCCAGGGTCACACAGCTAGTAAGTGTCAAGTGTTTGGTCTGAGGCCGGATTTGAACTCAGGTCCTCCTGACTTCAGGACCAGTACTCTATTCACTGCATCACTTAGCTGCCCCTGACAGGGTGCATTTTCTCAACTCTTTTCTGGTGCAAATTTGGACATTATATTTACATGGTGCTTTAAAAAAATTCATTATTCTATTTACATTATTGTAGTCATTGTGTAGATTCTGTTCCTCATTCTTGTTTCACTCACCCCAATCTTCCCAAGCTTCTTTGAATTCTTCATATGCATCCAAAGTTACAGGAAAAAGCTATTTGATAAAAGTGATTATGAGACATGGATCACCCTCATTAATAATTATCTTCCTGTTCCACCATACCTGCAAGATGCTCAACCTAGACTATTTTATTTAATTCATAGTCACTTCATGACATATTCCCCTACCAGGCTACAAGCTCCATTAGGGCAGGGATCTCTATTTAAACTCAACTTCCCCTACACTGCTCTCCTTACAACAGACACTTAAGAAACTTAAGTTTGTTTAGTTGAATTGTCTGTTGAATGGGAATGCTGATACTCAAGGAAATATGAAAGCTGGTGATGGTAAGCTGAAAGGGATAATGTGGAAGCAGGGTAGAAACACAATCAGGTAAAAAGGAAATCTGACATCAGAGGTTCCTGGCACAATGTGATTGCTAGGAAAAATGAGTAGTCTGTCCATTGAACATTCATTAGAAGAGGTTCCTTTCCTTTTTCGATAGCAAAGACCTGGGAACAAAGTAGATGTCTGCTGATTGGGGAGTTATTTAACAGGTTGTGGTAACATAAATGTAATATTTCTATGGTATAAGAAACACCATGATGAATACAGAGAAGCATGGGAAGACATATGTTTAAAAAAAAGTACCTAGATAACCCTTCCCTATATATTTGAGAAAAAAACTATAAGTATCCTCTAGGAAATGGCTTTTTACTGAGGGAAATTTAGTA